TAACTCTGAATAGGATAGTGGATATTGCATTTTAATATATTTGTATTTGATATTAACTAAATAATCAGCATTATATTAGGAGGATTTTAATCTGGAAAATAATGACATCATCTTTTATTACAAATTGGTATCTTGCTGGACCTCAAATACCTTGTTCTGAATGTACCACAGGACATCTTCAGCCTTTTGTGCACATTTCCAGTAGTAGACAACATATTGTATTTTGTATCCATATAGTTGAATATAGGTATCATGCTTTATTTGCCACAACAGTTTATAATTTAACGAGCAGACTAAGGACAAACCAGACAGTTCAGGTGGAATTTATGGGAGCACTGGGTTCTTTTAAGGGGCCGTTGTAGATGACCTTCCCCAAACTACAGCACAGATGTAGGCTGTGCCCTTTAATAGGGATAAATTAAATTCCATTGCTTATTAAACTGCTTTTTCCCATCTTTATGAACAGGTAAATGCACCATTGTACTATAATTTCTTCATTGAACTATACATATTAACCAAGTTTATAGCAGAGGCTAAAATCATATGTATACCCCAATTAAAAAACAAGAATAAGAGGACCAAAAATGGCATCATGGCTAAACAGAGTAAAAGAGGAAGTTAGAGACAAAAAGATTTATTTTAAAAACTGGAGGTCAAATCCTACTGAGGAAAATAGAAAGGCGCATAAACTCAGGCAAGTCAAGTGTAAAAATATAATTAGGAGGCCAAAAAAGAATCTGAAGAGCAATTAGCAAGAGACAAAAACTAAATCAATTTTCTTTAAGAACATCAGAAGCAGGAAGCCTGCCATACAATCAGTGGGTTCACTGAATGAGCAAGATGCTAAAGGAGCACTCAAGGAAGACAAGACCATTCCAGAGAAGCTAAATGAATTCTTTGCATTACTAGTCAGTATGGAGGATGTGAGCAAGAATCCCACAGCCGAGCCACTGTTTTTAGGTGACAATTCTGAGTAACTAACTGTCCCAGATTGCTTGTCAATAGAGGAGCTTTTGGAACAAACTAATACATTAAGTATTAATAAGTCACCAAGATCAGATGGTATTCAACTAAGTTCTGAAGGACCTCAGATATGACATTGCAGAACTACTATCTTTGGTATAAATAAATCACCGTACCAGATTACTGGCAGATAGCTAATGTAACATCAATTAAAAAAAACACAAAACAATTTCCAGAGGTGACTCTAGAAATTATAAGACAATAGGCCTGACTTCAGTACCAGACAACAGTAAAGAATAGAATTATCAGACACAGATGTATATGATAAATTGGGAAAAAGTTAACATGGCTTTTGTAAATGGAAATCATGTCTCACCAATCTATTAAAATTCTATAAGGAGGGTCAGCAACATGTGGACAAAGGCAATGTATTAGTTATTATGCACTTGGGGTTTGCTTAAGCCTTTGACAAGGTCTTTTACCAAAAGCCTAAGCAAAATAGGCAGTGAAAGAGGGAAGGACTTCACATGGACTAATATCTAGTTAAAAGACAGGAAACAAAGACTAGAACTAAATGATCAGTTTTCACAGTGGAGAGAGGTCCCTCACAGACCTATACTGGGACCAGCGATGTTCAACACATTTAAAAAGTTATCTGCAAAAAAAGGATAAAACAACTTTACAGATGAAACAAAATTACTCAAGATTTAAGTCCGAAGCTAACCGTGGAGAGTTGCAAAGAGATCTCAAAGAACTCTGTGACTGGGCAACAAAATGGCAGAAGAAATCACTGTTGGTGAATGCAAAGTAATGCACACTGGAAAAATATAATCCCACCCATATGCACAAAATGATAGGGTCTAAATTAGCTGTTACCATTCAAGAAAGAGATCTTGGAGTCGTTCTCTGAAAACAACCACTCAATATGCAGTAGGTGTCAAAAAAGCAAACAGAATGTTAAGAACCATTAGGAAAGGGTTAGAAAGCAATACAGTGGCGTTATGATATTTTCTAACTTTGCTGTATCCTCATATCTAGAATACTCTGCAGTTCTGACCACCCCATCTCAAAAAGCACATATTAGAACTGGAAAAAGTAAAGCAACAAAAATGATTAGGACTATGGAATCCCATATGAAGAGAGATTAAAAAGCCTGGAACTATTCAGTCTGAAAAAAGAGAAAACTATATAAAATCATGAATGGTATAGATAATGTCATTGGCAAAATGTTAGCTATCCCTTCTGATAATGCAAGAAGCAGGGGTCAACCCAATGAAATTAATAAGCAGTAGGTTTAAAATCAACATAAGGAAGTACTACTTCACATATGCAGAGTTAACCTTTGGAGCTTGTTGTGAAGGCCAAAAGTATTACTGGGTTCAAAGAAGAATTAGATAAATTCATGGACGATAGGTCCATTGAGAGCTATTAGTCATAACGGTAAGAGACAAACTCTGACCGCCAGAAGCTGGGACTGAATCACTTCTTGATTGCCCTGCCCTGTTTATTCCCTTTGCAGCATCTGGCACCAGTCACTACCAGAAGACAGGATACTAGACAGATGAACTATTGGTCTGATCAAATATGGCCATTCTTATGGTCTTATATAAAGAGTAGTAAAATTTAATATTATGCTACTTGGTTACAGTACATTAATTCTTATGAACTTTTTACACACGGTCACAGTGAAGATTTTAAGCTCTCTGGAGCAGGGATTGCCCTCCTTTGTTCATCTATATGTAAGCCTGCTTAGTTGGGGTGCATAATCTTTCCCATCAAAGTGGCTGCCTTATATTACACTGAATTAAAAAGTGTTACATGGATACAGAACAGTCATAAATTCATAGGGATCAATTCACTTACCACTAGAAGTTTCAGAGGGATAGCCGAGTTAATCTGTAACAGGAAAAATTTAACAAAATAGTCTGGCACTTTATAGACTAACAAAACATGGAGATAGTATCATGAGCTTTCGTGGGTACAGCCCACTTCTTCAGATGACCAGTCATCTGAAGAAGTGGGCTGTACCCACGAAAGCTCATGTAGATAGTATCATGAGCTTTCGTGGGTACAGCCCACTTCTTCAGATGACCAGTCATCTGAAGAAGTGGGCTGTACCCACGAAAGCTCATGTAGATAGTATCATGAGCTTTCGTGGGTACAGCCCACTTCTTCAGATGACCAGTCATCTGAAGAAGTGGGCTGTACCCACGAAAGCTCATGTAGATAGTATCATGAGCTTTCGTGGGTACAGCCCACTTCTTCAGATGACCAGTCATCTGAAGAAGTGGGCTGTACCCACGAAAGCTCATGTAGATAGTATCATGAGCTTTCGTGGGTACAGCCCACTTCTTCAGATGACCAGTCATCTGAAGAAGTGGGCTGTACCCACGAAAGCTCATGTAGATAGTATCATGAGCTTTCGTGGGTACAGCCCACTTCTTCAGATGACCAGTCATCTGAAGAAGTGGGCTGTACCCACGAAAGCTCATGATACTATCTCCATGTTTTGTTAGTCTTTAAAGTGCTACTAGACTATTTGTTGTTTTTTAAGTTTTTACTACTGGAGGGTGGCCATTTATGGGGCTGGACATGACAGCCAATAATGGTGCCAGGAACTTTACAGTTTTAAAGTATGAAAAAGAAGACGGTCTTATCTAATTGAATTGACAGGAGAACTCAAGTAGACAAAGTGCAATAGAAATGTTTATGATATTTGGAGTATCTGATCTCATCTGATGCTTGAAGAGCTCCTCATGTTTGGGGAGCACTGGTAGGGCTAGCCCTAGATTTAGTAGTCAGTGTTCTGTTGGAAATATATAAAGATTCTCACCATGTACAATTTGGTGTTGACGTTGGAAATGGTAAAGATCCTGTCAATAAGCTACTTTTTCATGGTCAGCAAAAATGCAAGTTCTTGAATAGTCATTTTCAACGCTCAAAAGAATTAATACAAAAGAAACCATACCTCCATGATATAATAAGGCAACCCATCTCAGTAATCTTTCTTTCCTGGCCACTGAAAATCATTTTAGCGATAAAGTAGACCTCAATGAAATCAGTGAGTTTGGAGCAGAAAAGGTAATGAAGTACCCACTAATTAAAATGGGGTGTGAGCACTGAAAAAGTTGTACTGAATCTCTTCCCCTTGTTGCATAGATGAGCACTGAATGTGGCCCAAGATTAACTGTCGTGAAATTTCTCAATATCCATTTTTGTAGCAAGTTATCTCTTGCTGAACTTACATATGTTACCAAAAACTTTCCAAAACTAGCCAGTTTCACTGGTAAAAATCTGAGTACTGCCTCTTTCACTTGCAAACAACATTTTTTTAATGGGGATATACCTATCTCATAGAGCTGAAAGGGACCTTGAGATGCCATCAAGCCCAGTCCCCTGCCCTCATGAAGGACTAAGTACCATCCCTGATAGATTTGCCCCATATCCCTAAAAGGTCCCAAGAAATGAACTCTCAACCCGTGGTTTACAAGGCCAATGCTCACCCACTGAGCTCACCCAATGCTCACCCACCCTGCCCCTGTTTTGTGCACAAATAGCAAAATTAACCATCCATTTTACATGTGCAAATTTTGATTGGGCAGTTTAGGTGGCAAGTCTTCCAGCTATGCAAGTCCTATATGTCAGGGGAACAGGGATCTTAATCTAGAATCTAGTCAAACTGTTAAAGCTTCCCTCCTTCTGTAATGAAAAATCCCTTCAGAGGAGGATTGAAGCGAATATGTTCCAGATTAATTTCATGCCAATTAGTACATTAGTTTTAGCTGATAAATATTCAAAGGCTAAAAGATACCAACAAGATGGATTAATTCTCCTACTATCTGAACAAAAACATTTAATATATTATATAACAGAATTAAATGCTGTTTGTTGTTTCCTGAACCAGATCCTAGGACATGTTAATTAATTGCTTCAAAAGGACTATAGACATGTTTCTTGAAAACAAAATTGAAGGATTTCAATATTTATCTACACTGTTCAACCTGGCTAGCTAATAATGCTTCCAAAATACATCTTACCTGCAGAAATCTGGTGGCACCATTCCATAAACATCTATCCTGTCACAGAGTTCTAATGCAATAGTCATTGTGAACCATCCTGTGCTAAGCCAAGTGTTGGATATCTTCCTGAAAGTAAAAACATAAGTAAGTTTCCAGGGTAACAAATAATTCTATAGATATCTAAAGTAATTTCTGAGTGGTTTTCTCCATTCTTGTTAAGGTTTATGAACATTTGGCAAACACCACCTTTTTTATTCATTCATCATTTAATGTGTTTAAGACTACCTTCTCCATCAGTGGATTAACCTACTTGGAAACTGCTTTCATTGTCATTAATTTAGGGCAACTATAGCCCCAAACCTGAACTGATATTCCAATACCAGTTAACGACCAGAAAAATACCCAGTATTGATAATTGCTCAGTGGAAATCATCACCCAAATGCCTGGCTACACAGCACAGCATTTAGAACCTAATGCTGGTCTATGCAGCTCAGAGTTTGCACTAGTGCTCTAAAAATATCTGTGTAGCCAGTGCTTTGAAGTTGTGACAGTAGGACCCAAGCATGTCTCCATCCGAGCAATGTCAAAGCACTCTTTCTACACTGCTGTTTTTAGCACTAACCCAGATCTGTCAACCCAATGGGGGTTTGCTGCCATGAACTGTGTAAATAATGACACAGATTTCATTGGGACCAGGATTTGGCCCCAGAGGTTGATCTAGCTAAAAAGAGCTTTTGCAAGTGCTGGCCTCTAGGCATTCCTCAGCCACTGTGTGCCATACCTGAGAAGGCTGACTGTGGCTTCGTCTTCACTGCCAGTTCTTCAGGCAGAAAATATGCTAATGAGACTATGACTTATGCTAATGAGACTCATTAGCATATTTTCAGCGAAGAACTGGCAGTGACGATGTAGCCTGTGATTCTTAGCAAGGAAATCTTTCTTCAGTGACTGAAGCCATTGCTGTCCATTCATTGTAGCACCTCTGTCACCAGATCAGAATCTCTGACTCCACCTAGCCTGAATCTCATTAATTGCGTCAGGGATCTTTGAACAACAATGTGGGATTCCACTTGAGAAGTAATCCTGATACCCTAGGGTGGCAGCCTCTTCCCTGGCTAGCTGAATTTCTGTAAGCTTGGGGCAGTCTTTAAAAGAGGCATATTTGATTCCACTCTTGGGTGTTTATATGACTGACAGGGTTATTACTGAGGCTTTCAAGGAACATTTATGCCATCTATTAGCCTCAACCCTTTACTACTGATGAGGAGGCCAATGGCTAGCATAAATTAGTCTGCTTGAATCACCTCAGGAATGAACCTGTCTGCTATGGGAGAATAGTAATGACAGCAGCCCTTCCTTCCAGCCATGTATGTGTCCATCATCATGGTATTTGGGCACCTGAGAATGTCATGCCTTGAAAAGTCAGCCCATCTCCACAGGTATCAGGACCCACTTTCTAGCATTTTATGGCTTCTGGGTGTAAGGGGACTGTTTTAAACAACACTTTACCACCATGTCTGATTTGTATGGGGTTGGGATAACTGGAGTCCATCCAGGCTTTCCCATACTTCACTCCATTAGCACTTGATTATCACAGAAGTCTTCTAGTTAAGGCACTGGCTGGGGACACAGATTATGGCACAATTCCTAGCTTTACTTCTTCCATCTCCTTGGGCAAGTCACTTAAGGCAAGATTCCATACCCCTTATTCACATTGGCAGCAGTGATCCCTGTAAGCTGGGCACTTGGGCGGTCACTCAGGAGAGATTCAAATGCAGCCCAGCTGATAAGCAGAGCTCCTGCATCCACCCACAGCCGGCAGCATGCCTTTATACTTGTGGTGCACATCTGCACGTGCTTTGGTGCACATAACAAAATGTATTCCATTCACAAATGGAAAAAAGTTAGAAGGGACATTACATTAAAGTTTATGATGCAAAAGCAACGGGACTGCTTATGTGAAGAATTGTTCAGCAATCTGACCTTTAATTTCTCTGTGCCTCTGTTCCCCCCATCAGTAAAATGGGTATAGTATTACTTCCTTTCTCCTACTCTCTGCTCTTCCATGTTTAGTTAAAGTGTAAACTCTTTTGGGGCAGGGACTGATCTCTCTCTATGTGTATATGCAGCATCAAGCACAATGGGGCCCTAATCTGAGTGCCCTGTAGGCACTACTACAATACAAATGATAATTTTATGTATCAGAGGTGCAATACAAGAATAGAATTTGTTTATATGCCAGAGATGAAAGATTTGGGGAAATAGACTGTTCTCAACAGGAAAGATTCCCTTGGTGTCTAGGGTCAACACAACTCAGAAGAACCAGGACATTGTCAGAATGGTCCAGCCATTTTAGTTTAGAGACAATTACTTTGTTAGTTACTATAACTCTTACGGCAGGGCTGGATTAACTTTTTGTGAGTCCCTATGAGGGCAGGAGGAGAATATGGCATGAGGAGGTTGATCCTGGGAACAATGGGGCACAGTGGGGCATACTTGCTCTGCCTTGTATGAGGGCACAGTACACAAATGGGCAGTTGCCAGGTGCACATTGGCCCACCCACCCCTATGCTGCCAGAGTACTCCTTCCCTATGGGGGTGGGCCCATGCCACGTCACCCAGCGTTCCCACTCAGCACTTCCTGGACTCTCTATGCCAGGCATCCAATCCCCAAATGCACAGTGCCCTGACCACCATTGCCTGTCCAATGCCCCACACCCTCAGTCACACCGCAACTATCCAATACCCCACAGAAACCATCCCACTAGCCAGCACCCCAACACACAGAAATCTCCCTCACCCCCACTGTCCTATACCCTTCCCCACAGCCCAACCACAACTCTAGCGCTTCACCAAGACCCCCCACTGCCTAGCACCCCAAAATACACAAACCTCCCTCACTGCCCATCCCAGCATCCCACCCGCCCCATGACTTGCCTGCGGGCACCACTGAGACTATGTAGAGCAAGGATCCCCTCTTCCAGGGGCAGGACAGCAGAAGCCACGAGTTGCCCCATCCCCCAGAGCCTGGCCCAGCCCTAATTTCCTGGAGCTGGTGCTCACAGTGGAGGTGGTGCTGGGGGCAAGGAGCTGCAGACTCCAACTTCTCCAGGTTGCCCCTTCTACAGAGTAGCCAGGAGAGGTGGGCCCCACCCCCGGGGAACACAAATCTTGGTCACTGGCCCAGAGCAGCAGCAGTTGAGGGCTCCTCTCTGCCCCAGGCTGCCTGCTGGTGTTGGGGGCAGAGCCACCAGGCAGAGCTAGGAGTTGGGGAGAGAAGCCCTGGCTGGCCAGAAAAAAGGGGTGAATAGTGGTGGAAAGTCAAGGTTTTGTCTACACTTACCAGCACTGTCAATCTACATCAGCTACGCATACTCACCTCAGCGTTTTATGCGCGGCAATATTGGCGGGGCTACTTTCCCGTCTATGCCAGCTACTCTTCTAATATTCTGCTTAGATGCACTAAATCAAATGCTGGTGGATCGATTGCTGCAGTGTTGATCCACCACAAAGTGGAGACAAGGCCTTTAGTATGGGCCCAGCCCCGTAGCACCAGCAACACTGTTGTAAATCTGGTACTGCCTAGGGATGTTATGTAGAGTTTAATAAGCTAATCGAGTAGTTGATGGAATTTGCATTGACTACTCGATTAGTCACTAAGGCGGGGCATTTGCTACCTTGTGTAGGCAGCCTGGCTCGTACTACATTTAAACTGCAGAGCTGTAGTGGGGTTAGGTCCCAGGAGCGGCATGAACCAGTATCCAGCAGTCTCAGCTTGCGCCATCCCCGGGACTGCTGCACCTTTGCCTTTTAAATGTAGTAAGAACTGCTCTTTTAAGCTGGCTCGTCCCAGAACTGGCTCCTGCTCCCCACCTTGCTGCCTGATACAGAGGCAGCAAGGAGGGAGGGAAGCGAGTAGCTGAGTAGTGACTTAGCTACCCAGTAACCCTAGGCTTATCAAGTAGCGACTGCTTGACTAGTCACTTACATCCCTAGTACTGACTGAAGGTTTCAATAAAAAGAAAAAGAAAAGAATTTAAACAAGTTTTAAACAAAATACAAGCAATGAACATATCGAATTTAAATCTGAAAACCTTTTCAAGTACCACCATTAATGCTTCCACTTCTCTAAATACCACCTCCGCAGTATTATAGTATAGAAAAAGGGTTACATTGTCTTGCCTTCTTTCAAAGGATTTGAAGAAGAGTCCAAGAAAAAAAAATCTACTGTTTTTTACTCCTAATCAACTGTAATGAAAGAATATGAAGAGCTGTCATGTGCTTATTAGGGGGAATTATAAGATATTCTTTTATATGATGAACTAACACAATATTCTGATAATTCTGTAGTGCACACTAAATTACAATTAAAGGCCTTTCTGCTCCACCAAAATCTCATTTATAATCTCTGTGGAAATACTCTTCCTAAAGTTATTTCATTTACGCTTCCTTTATCTAATTACTGTAATATTGGTTCTGAATCATATTTTCTTAATGTACCCTTATTCAATTACGACGTTATTTTCAAGTACAGTTACTTTGTAATATCAAAGTATATTACTCTGCAGTCTTGGTCATTTGCCATACTGTTTACTTGGTGACATTTTCTGAAGGTTCTCCTTCAGTTTTTAAAAATCTGTCCTTTTTTAAATAAAGCACGATACAGCCAATTATCCTTTCCCTCATAATACTAAAGACAAAAATGAATGGTTAGATTATTGCATCCTTACAATCAGATTTCTTCCTCTTTGTTTTTTGTAGTCAATAACTCAGTAGTATTCAAAAGGGAAAAAAGAGTAGAGGATATTTTGGGTTACACAATGTTCTGTTCCTGTATCCACAGCTCTGTAATTATCTCTCTACAAATTCCTTCCTGCCCATGTTTCCTTTTCATCTTCTTTCCTCCTCCTTTTGTGCTGCCTTTTCATTTATTTTCATCTCGTTTTAATCTTCTTAGTCCTTCAAGGTCATAGGTGTCCTTTTAAAGTAGCATTTCTTATACAATGCGTGTGCACCTTATTACTAACACAACCTGTTTGCAAAACCAGATCCTACAAGGAACTGAGGGTATGTCTAGACTACATGCCTCGTCGACAGAGGCATGTAAATTAGACTACCCAATATAGTCAATGAAGCCGGGATTTAAATATCCCCGGCTTCATTAAAATAAAAATGGCCACCACACTGTGCCGGCTCAGCTGATTGTTGGCACAGCGCGCAAGTCAAGACGCGGATCGGTCAACAAGGGAAGCCTTTGTCGACCACTCCTGTAAACCTCGTTTCACAAGGCATAAGGGAGTGGTCAACAAAGGCTTCCTTTGTCGACCGATCCACGTCTTGACTCATACGCTGTGCCGATGATCAGCTGAGCTGGCACAGCACGGCGGCCATTTTTATTTTAATGAAGCCGGGGATATTTAAATCCCGGCTTCATTGACTATATTGGGTAGTCTAATTTACATGCCTCTGGCGACAGAGGCATGTAGTCTAGACATACTCTGAGTGTCCTTGGTTTGCACAGCTGGGGGTGCCCAGAACTGGGCTTACAATAAACTCAGCTATAGGATAATCAAAAGACAATTAAGTGAGTTTCAGGAGCTTTTCACTTCTCCTATAGGACAAGACATGCTCTGAGCAGGTGTAACTGCAAAACCATCAAAAACACTCACCCTGTGAACACTAAGGACTGCTCATATCCCTGCTATGTGTCTGATACCATGACATCATCCTCCCCCATTTGTAGCCAGCAGAGCTGGCCAGATAACAGAGAAGGCAGTAACTCTTTCTAGAATCAGAGAAGATTGGGGAGATATTATGACTGGGAGCAGCTGCACTGCATTGCTCTATAGGCAGAGCCTGAACCTATTGCCCTACCTAGCCCACAGCGAAACTTTGTAATCTTCATTACACTTGCTGTAAACCAGAGATTGGGAACATTTTTTTGGGTCAGAGTGGCTGATCCACAGAAAAATCAGGGGTTGCACTCGCACACAAGTGAGAAGCAAAAAAACTACAAAAACAAAACCCCCTGCCTGGCCTGGCCCCTGTCTGAGAAGGAGAAGGACACTCCGCACACCACAGCCTAGTGAATTGTGCGTGCAATAGCCCCGCAGAGGGATAGTGGGGAGGCTGGAGTGCTAGCATGGGCTTTCCAATGCTGGGGGGGGGGGGAGCTCTGAACTTCACCCTACCCCTGCTGTAAAGTCTCCCTCACCTCCATACTGGGTGTGCAGCTAATTCCATACACCTTCCTAAAGCCTTAAATGCATATTTCCCAGGGGAATGTCCACTCCCCATCTTCTCTGCTCTGACTGAGTAAACTAGGAGAGGGAAGAGGGTTTTTTTTCCTGTGCTGGTAGAGCCCCTCCCCCAGCTGTCATTTCCCTCTGCAATGAAGAGCGGCCCCGTCACCACTTCTAAGGCGAATGTGAGAGGAACTTTAGCAACTAGGCCTAGTCGTAGTTACGTTATGCTTATACTAGCAGTACCTGTCCACACTTCCAGAGCCACAGAGGGTGGAACCAGTGTAGCAGGGGCAAGATTTAGGGGGCAGCTCTGCTTGCCCTATGCAGAGCCCTAGCCTATATGGGACTTTTAGGCAGCAATGCACAAGTAACACTGGGGTTACAGTGAACTTGGTTGCAATGATCCTCTCCTTTATGGTGTGGGCTTGTAAAGGTTATGGAAAGCCACATAGGAACGGCCATACCGGGTCAGACCAAAGGTCCATCTAGCCCAGTATCCGGTCTTCTGCCACCTGTCTTCTAGCGATGTTAATGGGTAACTGGGTTAAGGTTAACTCTTAACCATTACCTGAGGGGCAGCCCCCGCCTGTGGCCCGCCATGAGTGGAGGGCTGCTCTATCCCGACCGAGTCCTCACACGGGGCTGCTGACTCCCAACCCACAGGGGGCTAGTAGCTGGCAGCCCAACACAGGACTGGGAGCAGCTGGGCTGGAGAACCCACCCCCGCCCTCATTTAATCAGTTAACTCGCTAAACTTAATGTTTAATTGGTTAAAAAAGAAATGGGATTTTACATCCTACTCTTTTCTGCTTCTCACATTCACCTTAGAAGTGGTGGCAGGGCCACTCCATTCACTGTAGTTGCAGAAGGAAATGACGGCTGCGAGGAGGGGCTCTACCAGCACAGAATAAAAATCCTCCCCCATTCCTAGTTTACTCAGCCAGAGCAGAGAAGAAGGAGGAGTGGGCAATGAACAGAACAGGTATCATCAAGTGATCTATTCCCTGTCACCCATTCTCAGTTTCAAACAGAGGCAATGGGACACCACTCCTGCCCATCCTGGTTAATAGCCATGAATTTATCTAGCTCTTTTTTGAACCCCGTTATAGTCTTGGACTTCACAATGTCCTCTGGCAAGGAGTTCCACAGGTTGAAGAAGTAGTTTCTTTTGTTTAAAACAAAGTAAAGGACATACTATAATTATTATTTATTATCAGTATTGCAGTAATGCCAATCATGGACCAGGCCCCCATTGTATGGGGTGCTGTAGAAACACAACAGAAAGATGGTCCCTTCAGCCAAGGGCATAATAGTTTGCCACAGAGTGGCTCTGTCTATGTCCTTTCCCTGCAGCCTGGAAGACAGGACACATCCCCCCTGTCCTCTGTGGCTGCCCAATGCTAAGACCAGCTGCACGGGCTGCACTTTGTTGGTAAATTGCTAGGGTGGAGAAAAAACAGTGCAACATGACTTACTATGTGCTCACCTCCTTGTTCATTTGCAATGGGGACCGTATACCATTTTTACTGCTGCATATTTAGTATTTTCAAATAGGAGTAAAAACAAATGTATTTTACTTTAAAAAGCCCTTGTCTTAAAAACCCATTTCTACATTAGGCACAAAAATACTCTAGTCCTGCGGTGGGTCACTTTTTAAAAATTTCATTTGAAGATTGGTCTGTAAGTTGCACAGAGTTTCATGAAGATGCAACTATCATAACTACTTCCTTTTTCCCAGGTACAAATGGAAGATGAACTGTTCAGAAGCACTTCATATATGAAAAAGAGTGTGTGTTTGTTTTACAGGACGCTTTGACAGCAGCAATGTTCCAAGAATGCTTAAATTCAATAAATAGCCATTATGATTCACAGAACGGTAGCATTTTCTCCATAAGAAAGTAAAACTCATCAATTCTGATGTTTCAAAAGCAGTAAAAAATTGCATTCAGGTTTATTACCCCAAAGTGAGATTTAAAATGCATTGTCTATCTCCTGTCTGTTTCTTTCTGCAATTCTCTTGCTTGACTATATACACACACATCATTTTTGGTATTAGATTAACAGGCAAATATCCAATACAAATTATTTTGATGCCTATTTTTTTTATTTAAGTTACAAAGGCTAAGTGTTATTTACATGTAAAAATCATATTACAACCATAAACACATTTAATGGGCCTGATGTTCCCTCTGCATTAATCTGAAACTGATGAGTATAAATGTCATTATTTTGCAGCTATTGAAATTTCCCCAAATGCATTCACATAAATTTCCTCACCTGTCTTTGCCAGTTTCTCGTTTGAAGAGGTCATCAAATTGAAGCATCTTGTGCCGAGAAATCATATATACTTTTAATTGAGGTAGTATCTGATTCATCAATTGCAGATTATTATAAACCAAACCTTTTCCATCTCGTCTCATATAGCTGCTGGGACCCCAGAAGATAAACACAGTACCGTGGCTCATATTTAACAGTTCATTGCGGTTTCGCAGAATTCTCTGGATACTAGAATGTGCAATGACTCGAAGACTAGTTTTGTTTCCAACATCTTTTCCATAACTTCGAGTGGGTGCATCGTTCATTCGTATTACACACTCAGTCTGGTCAATTCTGTTGCCTTGTTTGCTTCCCACGAGATGTCCAGAACTGGTAACCAGAGCACAACTCTTGCAGTGCATTTTCAAAGGCTGCAAGAAACAAAAGAAACTTCAAAATTAACAGCAATCATTTTTTCATCCATTAGACCAGGGGTGGGGAACCTTTTTTGAAAAATCAGTCGGGGGCCACACACAGGTGAGAAGGAAAGTAAGAAGCCCCGGAGAAGGAAAAAGGCTCTCCTCACATTCCCCTAGTACACCAGAGCCTGGGGGAGAGAAGGGAGGGGGAAAAGAATCAGGCTAGTAGATTTTGTGTGCTCTAGCTCTGTGGGTGGATGGCAAGGGGTTGGAGCACCAGTGGGAGCTCCCCAACATGTGTGTGGGGGAGATCCCTGAGCCTCGGGGGCCAGATCCAGGCAAGCTGGGGGCTGCATCTGGCTCCCAGGCCTGAGGTTCCCCACCCTTGCATTAGACAATAGATCATTACTAATTAATTAACTTTTATATATTTTGTAGTGCAAGGATTTCAGAGTGCTTTCCAAATATCCTGTCAGGTAGGTAAATGTTGTCTGTTTACATTTTATTTGTTATAACAAACTCTGTTACGTAAAACATAGGTTTGGTGAAAGGAAATACTATTTTAATCAGGTTGCTTTGTTGCCAAATGTCAGCAAGTAGTTTTCCTTGGACTGTCATCTGCAGTGTTAATGTTATTCTGGTAAAAGTTCAGCATATAACTGCAGTCATTTTAAATAAAATCATGGTCAATATTATCATAAAGTTTGATCAATACGGGTCTGTCTTTAAAGCATAAACACATTTTATGATCACACTGAGAACTAGTGCTTTGCACTTTTTCTATATTGGCTTTCAAGACATCTTCAAAAGATACATCCATACAATGTGTGTTCACAAGGAAATGGAAGAGAAAGGAAAACCATAAGTGTCCATGAAAATAAGCCAGGCTATTAATAGATAGATAAAGCATCATTATCTATCTTATTTCATTGTTTAACAGGAGAAGTAAGAATTAAAAAAAGGAAAGCTAAAGATAATTGAATATGCAACAAGGTAGAGGGTAAGTTCCATTCCAGCGATTATACAGTATACAGGCAGTCCCCGAGTTACGCGGATCCAACTTATGTCGGAACCGCAGTTACGAACGGGGATTTTCTCGCCCCGGAGGAGTGGAGTGGCGGGACGCCTGGTCCCGCAGCCCGCCTCCTCCGGGGCGAGACAAGCTGCTCCCCGTCTCCCTGGTCTGCTGGGGGAGCCAGCAGACCAGGGAGACAGGGAGCAAAGCGGCGGGAGACCCGGGGGCGGGC